TCTAATATATTCATGCATTATTATTACTATAGCAGTGTGATTTATTTGTGTAGAAAAGTATCACAACATCCAATGGATCTTTTACCAAAACAGCGGAAAGTACTTGTCTATGGTCATTCTGTGATTATATGTCTGCAGATGTTTTCTTTTGCTGTTTAAAAACTGTTGTGTATCAGAGGCTTTGTCTACTGCAAGCAGAGATTTTTATCACGTCTATGAATTCATGAAATTTATTGGTGCTGCTAATTGAAAATGGGAACCAGGATAACTATAGATTACTTATTATTTTTGCTTTGTGCTGTTCAAGTGTAGTTGCTCAGTAATTCTAATCCCTAACAAATAATATTTTATGAGTATCTTAATTCCATTTTAAGATGTGCAGAAAACTGAGAGTATTTCAGAAATTCAGGAATTCTATTCAGGAAGCAGTGAAAGGTCTTGGAAATCCCATACCAACAAACTTGCACTAATGCATATAGAATTATACACTTCATGATGAAGAGTCTTTCTCAGCTGAGGAGAGGCTCAAGTACTGTCACTCAGACATCGCAATTGCTTGATTTGTATGAGACTGAGTGAAAGGAGGGTTGAAGAAGATGCTGGATGACTGTAGACACAGACCAAGTTCCAAGGGGTGCATGTGAAGTTACCAAGAAAGAACCCATACACCCTCCAAAAGTGTTAAGTAAGAATTACCCTCATGCACATCATTCCTGTCACAGTATTTCTTCTCTCTTCCTATCTACCACGGCTTTTACAAATCTTTCAGTGTCCGGGTGATGCTGTTTTGATCTGCCAAAATTTCTGCTGCAAATTCATTCTGCTTCTGGAGATCATTGAGGGTATTTGAACAGGGGCTTCCAGTTGTTTCATCTGAAAGGAATTCAGTTTGTAGATGTCCCAAACCTGTATGACACAACTGGAGACAATGGAGACATCAGAATTGCATTACTCCAAGCCATATGCCTATTATAGACATGCCCATTAAACCCCGGTGCATACCATGTATACACCATGCCACAACTGAAATTGTAGTGGAAGAAAGGGAAAGTAGCTGAAAGTTGTTTTAAAAAGTTCAAGAGAAATTAAATTTGGGGGCATTTTTTATTATCCATTTTTCCTCACCCCTAGTTACAAGCAACTCTAGAAGAGTAAGTGTTCTTCAAATATTAAGTGATGATTGTTGATTTGGTTGTCTGACCCTGTAAAAATTAAAGCTTCTAAAAACAAAATAATATTTTAACTTCCTTTTACCTTTCTCAGGAATTTGAATTTTTTTTTGTTTTAAATGGTAGAATAGTTTTAGAGTATGGAATCAATGCCGCAAGGATTTTACTTACTCCCACAGGCCATTTACCTGAAGTCTAATTGGTATATTCATGGATTTTCCTGTTTGCAGGATCAAAGTCCCCTTTTAGTGCACTGATTTCATTTGACAAGAGAGTTATGCTATAAACTACATACCAAAGGTGTATTTTCTCATCTATGCTAAATAAATACACATACTAATATGCTGCATATGTATGAGGCTATGCTTTGCCTACATATGCTACATTTGTCATTATGAAGTTATGATTACTGTGTAATATAAACTTAGAGAGGATTGGCCTTACAGACAGATTAACAGTAGAGTATTTATTAAATTGACCAATAAATGGGTAATTATTATATATGAATTTAAGGAATGCATTTTTAGTGAATTTCAAGTTACTGCTTCTGTGACTATTAGTACTAAGTACTTCTGTGACTAGATAATTTACATTTTCCTTTCCAATGTGAAGGAACTAATTTTCAACCACTGGCATAGAGAGGACTTCCAAATGATGCTTGAATGCTTTCTACCTTGCTGCAGTGAAGACTGATCTACAACTTGTCATTGTAAGAAAATCAAATATATAGTGTTTATATGTGGTTAATAAGTTACAAACCCAAACTTTACTATGACTACAAAAAAGGAACACAAGAGCAAAGGCAAACTGGAAATGCCTTAAGAGAGAAAATGGTTAGGAAAGTCTAGAGGACCCAGAGTGGTGTGTTGAGTGATGTAGTAATACATAAGAACCTGTTTATGTAACAGAGAAGTCCCAGTTTACCTACTTTTGGCTTGAAAGGAGGAGTGCAAGGACAGAGTGAGTGAAGCAGTAAGCCATCATAAGAAGGTTTTCACAGAAAGATGTCTCCCTGCAAAATCTATTTAGCTAAGAGTAATTTAATATTTGAAAATGGGCATTGAGCAGGAAATTAAGTAATTCCCAGGCTGTGAAAATTTCCTGTCTACAGAATTTACTGATGTACAAAGTGTATAATGCATAAAATGTACTTTAGGCAAAATCTGTAGGCCTTTGTTTGAGTAAAAAGCACTATTATTCTGAAGAAATAGGTCTAATTTTAGTACTTTTAATCATCTGTGGTCTATTAGTTATCTTCAGTTCTAGTATGTCCACCTGAAAAGACTGTACAGGCTGCATGAGATAAAACTAGTCCAGGGAAGTGTAAAGCATAGATTCCTTCCTGTGGAATTTGGAGCAACTCTGTAGTTATATCAAATTCAGGTGGCAGCTAGGTGCTACATTTTTGTTTAATGTCAATATATTTTACTATAACAATTTTATTCTACTCACTTAATTTTAACATTTATATGAATTCAAAACTATTTTTAGAAAAGATTGCTGTGTTTTAACTGTGAGCTATCAGTCCATTGACGTTATTTGCTGAGTATTGAAGCATCTGTGGCTAAAAGCACATAGGTTTCTTGTATCTTTTTGCAGGATAAATTACAATTGCAAATAAGAGGGTTTGCCGCTTGAGTTTAGCCTGGGTCTGTTCTCATTGGTTATTATTGTCAGTTAATGTCCTGTCATAGCAAGGGGAGCTCTTCTGGTAGAAGCTAAAGTGTCCTGGGTTTGACATGCTCTGTTGTGACATATCTGTGTCACTTAAAGATGGACACATTAGACTTCTTGTTTAAGTAAAGGTTATACCCTTGATCCTTTCCCCACTTGATGTATTGTTTTGGTCTATTTCTTTCTAACTTGGCTCATAAGGGCATGGATGCCTACCAAAACTTATTTCTTCTGGGCTGGATGTAAAGAAATCTGTAACTGAAACTCAGTTAATCCCTTCGATCCCTCTTTGCTGCTGCATCCATGAGACCTTATCGTGACCCCAGCACTGTGACTGAGTTATCAAAAAACCTCACATTGTCAGCCTCGGTCTTTTTGCTGATTTGTTTGAAGAGAATACCATTCTGCAGGCATCCACAAAGCTGAACGGCAAGCACCAGGAGTGTTTTGGGTATTGCATATTATTCCCTATATATATCATATATGAAAAGCAAAGACTGCATGTGCCATGTGAAGAAAGAGTAGGAAGAGATGGTGATCAATGGCTGCCAGTTCTTCCATGTGCATAGGGAAATTGAGAATAGCAAACCTGAGCTAGGTCTAGAAAGGGAAAAGGGAACTGAAAGCCTATTTTCTTGTGATTTGAGGAAAAAGATGATGTTCATAGATGAACTGGGTGGCTAGTTTTTGAAACAGAAATGTGGGTTACAATAGCTTGAGAAAAAAATTGCTTTTCCAAAGCAGAGCGTATTTTTTCCTTTGCTGGTCATTAGAAGTTCTTCTGAAGACCAGCCCTTCATGGAAGAAGTCATGCTGAAGTACTATGAGCTGGTGATGATTTTAAGTTTCCCCCAGCATGTAATAACTCCAAGTAATTGGTAGGTATGTGCTCTTCAAGGACAATGATATTTTTGCTCCTTCACCTGTTTAAATCACAGTGTTTTGTGCAAGACAGTGCAGCCAAATGAGTGCTGAGAAGCCCAGAACTGCAACAGGAATATTAGTACGTGTTTCAAAAACTTCTTAAATGTACAGAAGGGTTTAAAGTGAGTTTAGCATGTGTAGCTGACAGGTCTTGTTTTTAGATACTGTCTTTTTCAAATAACTTATTATCTGGTAGGATTTTGGAGCCACTCTTACGGAAAGGACATGGAACAGAAGGTTCAGAGGTACAGTCTATATGCTGATAAGCAGTTGATACACCATGAACAAAGAATGCCTTGTTTTAGAATTGTTGTATGTGTTGCATTTATACAAAAAGAAGCTTAAATAAACACATTAACTCTTGTGCAGCATACGCAGTGATAAAGACACTAGTTGTGAAATGCTGGTTTTATAATTCAATATGCTTTCTCTGATCCAGTGTTACAAATTAGGGTCACTCATGTCAGGAGATTAAAACCTTTTTGTCTCTCTTTGATATCAAACTATTCTTCCCCAGTCCCTTTTATCTTGCAGAGCAGTGGTGAATTCCACAGCATCTTTGTCAGTTTGCTCATGTATTTGCAGCAATCATTTAATTGGTTTTAGAACTAATATTATTTAGTCATACTGTTATTCACTACAACAGAGGCTCTTTAATATCCTAAAAATGTTGAGAGGCTCCAGTGTTAGCTCGGTAAGCACATGTGTAAGAGAGACCACAAATAATTTTGGGACCATGGTGTGAGTGTGAGCTAAATTGGATAGAAAAAGGAAAAAAACCGCATACAAGTCAAAGTAAGATTTTACATCAGAAAAACTACAGCAATCTACTGGAAATTAGTATATCATAGTCATGAGTAGCTTACAGTGAACCACAGGTACCAGCTTCCCTGAAGCACTGAAATAGGAACTTGGAGAAGCTTGTAAAAGGTGTCCTCAGGGAATCTTCCATTTTTGCACTATGATACCTTTAATCCTAGAATTGTCAAGCCACATGGAAAATAATAGGACTCAATAGTTCAGTCAGTTAAAAGTTAGTATTATACCTTTTATCAAAAATATTAGGTCTTTCTGTGTTTCTGGAGCTGTTAGGATTTGTATAAACTTTAAAACAAGTGAAGTCAAGTATTGAACCTGTATTGCTCTTTTTAAAAAAATTTAAGATCATTATCTCTGACTAAGCAGGCTCTATTCAACAGAAAGAAAGAACTTAAATCCACTATTTTTTAACAGATGATTCAACGAGAAGCAGAAGTAAAGAATAAGGTAACTGCTGTGGCGTTGACAGACTCTGTTCACAATATGTGGCATCAAGGAGCTGGGAAAACTATTCGAGAATGGATGCGAGAGGTGAGGCCATGTTTTTTAAGAAAAAAAGAGTTGGAGTATGTATATCTGTATATGGCTTAGTAAACATATCTTTATCTGCTGACCTCTTCTCTTTTTTGGGGTGTAAAACACAGCACATTACAGGACCATGAAAATTATGTGTCCATACCAGCCCCTAAATTAACCAAAATTAAAGCCATTTCTGAACTTCAAAGTTAGCAGTCAAAATAATGAGAACTAGTCCAGTGTTTCGTTGTGCTGCACAACAATATAGAGACATACCAAGACAGCCCATGCGCTGCCTGATATCTGCATCAAAGTCCTGGATGCTCCCCGTGCTCCTGGCTTGATCTGGCAATGGTGGAAAAGCCCCTTCAAGCTCTTGATGACTCAGTTTGATGATTTGTAGAACTGGCAAAATATTCTTTCTCTCAGCAGTTTTATGATATGTAATTTCTTCTAAGTGCTCCAAAGCTCTCATACTTAAGTATGGGGTTGCTGAGATTTTAAAAGCAGTATTTTTTTAAAGTGAGACCATCTAAACTGCTGTTTATGAGTCTTGTCCTCACCAGATCAGGCTCATCTCAGTGTTTTCTATGTTCCCATTTCGGAACACTAAAACAATAGGTGCACAGAACAAATTTAAACTAGTGGCATCCTGAACTTTTTCTTAGACTTGGCTTTTTCCCATGGATTTAGTGAAACTTTGTGTATAGACTGCCTATTCCTGACTTAACCTTACAGTTCATAGGCTGTGACTGATGAGAGTAGAGAATCACATGGGATGCAGCCTGACAACTCTGACTTAAATGTTAAAAATATAAAGAATGGTAACCCTTACAGAGTCTGTCAGAAAAATCCCCATTTTCTTTATGGGAAATCAAAACCTTAAAATATGTGTTATGTAGTAAAACTGAAATTTTAAATCCTGTAATTTGAATCTGACAACTCCATTTTCTTTTAAGCATTTAATCTGAATAAGACAAGTGCATTACCTTTAATTTCATTTGCAGAATGTAGATGTTAAAGAATAAGTTAAATGATTAATGGCCTAAAAAGTGGATGGAGTGTCATAACTTACATTAGCATTAAAAATCTCCTATAAGAAAGAGGAATTTTACATATGTGAAATGTGGCTGAGTGGTATTAAGACTAGCATATCACCTGGATATCTCTTACTTTACTCAGGTTTAAGGCTACTGGTAAAATGAATAATAATTAAAATATACACCTAATCGCTGCCTGTCTGTAGGGCTAATTGCTGTCATTGAAAGAATGAATTGTTAAAAAAGTAATTCTTCATTGCAGCTATCTCTTCTGTATCATTGGTAGCCTATTTTTAGTACCTATAGAAGTCATGATTTTTGAATTTATTAGGAGCTGTGATGAATGATAAAACAAATCATCCATTTACATATCTTGACACTGCTTTGGAGAATACTTATTTCTTACAGGCAAGTGTCACATTGTATATAAAAGCTGGTTAATTGTGTGCTAATCTTCTGTATTATCTCCAGCTCTCTGATGTAGAGTTCTATCAGTAGTTAATATTAATTTTACTTATTTCAAATGATTGTAATACTTAATAAAAATTCTACTTCTTTTATAATTTCTACCATCTTACATTTGCAATTTCACATTCAGCTGTTAATTAAAATTATACATGCAAATTGGGAAACATATAATGTGTTACTACTTTAAACCTTAAAAAACCTTTGTGAAATACTTCCATTTTAACCAATTTTTACTTAAAAAGTTGTTTTACTGGATAGTGTGTTTGTTGTGTTGGTTTTTTTCCATTGAGTTCAATAGTTTCATTGATCTACTGTTTCTTACAAAAATCTGCCATGCTTTGTGAACTTCACTTTCTAATCTCATACAGCAACCCTTCCTTTATGTTGTTCCTGCTCTCCCTGGTCCCAGAACAGTAGGGTTGCCTTGACAAATCTATTCAAAAGCCATTCCTCGCCCTTTATTGGTGGGGACTGAAGCCTTTGAAATTCTCTTCTCACTGCAACACAGCTGACATCTTCTTCCAGACAGAATGAATTAAGGAAATACAATAAGACACTTGATCTACCAGTCAAGGATCTTTCCACAGTGAGGACGGACTCCATGGTGCACAACTAGGGCAGCAAGCATCTACAAATACACAATACATGCTTGTTTACCAGAATAGAAGTTGTCCATTTTTACAATCATGATTGATGGGATGATTTTTTTAGAAATCTGTCTGAAAATTTATTGGGTCTTTCCAAAAAGTTGTACGGGCTTTTTCCTTTTCCCCTCAGTGAAGTTAATCAGGTTTTCGAAAAGGGAAAATTCAGATTTGTAAGATGGGAAGCCATGTAGATCTTGTCATTCAGCTGGCAATCCTACTAAAAATGTCGTTGCTTTATAATTAATCCTCAATTCAGTAGATTTGGTGTAGTTTCAGCATGTTTTATTAAAAGCTGATTATTTATCTTTATTTATCTTTAGTTCATAGATTACTCTGAATAGACAGCATTTGGAGCAAAACATTTAGCAAATTCATGGTAAATTCATCCTACTCAGAGGTTCAGGAATGAAAGGCAAATATAAGTGCTTCCTGAATATAATTCCCCAAAGACCAGTATTTGCCTTTTTAAATGTTCATGCACAATTCATCTCAGCTATATTTTCAATTACCTGAATATTAATCTGCTATCTTGATGGCTTCTATGCAGTTATAATATGTTGATTCAGAATTTCACAAATGTTCTTGCCACAGTGTACTCCATCAAAACACCCTAAAAGATTTTTTAATGTTGGCAAGCGAGCAGGTTCAGTGTTTATAGCACCACCCATTTAACAAGCCCAGAAAGGAAAAGCTTGAAATATGCGGTGGGTAATTCAGGCACTAGTTGGTTCAAGCACCTACTCAAGTCCACTGGCACCTAAAGTAGACCTTAAAGACACACTATTTAAGGACACTACAAATCTCCTGAATTATGGTGTTACTCTTATTAAGTATGAAACTACTGTATTTCATCACCAGTAAGTGTGAATAAGCTGGTGTAGTGTACTTTCCAGTCTCTGTTGGGACTGCTATGTAAATTAGTTTGAGTATTTTGATGTGATCATTGTTCTTACTTAAAATATATTTGGTTTTGCTCTGAGATTTTGCTTACCCCCAAATTGCCTGCCTGCTCTTACAGCACTGCTGTAACTGGATCTCCAGCTCTGAGCCTCTCGACACTCCAGTGGAGTCCATGCTGCCAGATTGTCCCCGTGTCTCTGCAGGTACGTCTCTTTGCAGTAAGCCAGTGTACATGTTTGTTCCCAGGAGCAGCTTATTTATTTTAAAACGCATTTAGTTCTGACTGCATTTTAACACTTCTACAGCAAGATATGGTTGAAAGCATATGGCTGCGGCTATTTTATGCAGTCCACTGTTAACGCTGTATTTTTTTGCTCTGTGTGGGATTTAAGTTCCCTTGTCTACTTGTTGCTTGAATTTTTATAGTCTTCTTTTCTCTTTGTCTTTTAAGCAATTGGTGACATTCTATGTAGGAACATAAGAAAAATAACAGCAATGACAGAAACTGGGAAATTTATCATAGATCCTTGAATTAATATCTAACTCTATGTAGGCAAGAAGGTTTTAGAGAAGTACTTTCATTACAGCTTCCTGAATGCTGATCAGCATAAGTTTAGTTTATGTAGCAAATTATTTACAGCATCCAAGAATGTTGATGTGAGTTTCCTGTTGTTTTGGAAATACTCAGCTATGCTATTTCATTAATGAATCATAAATCATAAGGAGCACATTAAATAATACAGAGATACTTTAGTTAATGTGTAAATAATGACAGAAAGTAGATGTAGTTGTCAATGTAACAGATAAGTCTCCAATCTCTGTGGGAAAGTAATCTAAAATACATAAAGCTGTTACTGAACTTTCATGTTTGATTATCAAATTTCCTAAAAGACATAGGTAGCATATTTCTGTATAATATATAAAATCAGGTTCAAAGGAAGACACAGCCTATATAATATTAATTTAAAAGCTGGAACAATGTTTGACCTTGCTCCATGAGACGCAGTTGTTTGTTTGACAAGTTAAGGGTTTCATATCTGTCTGGATTTGCAGGTTTGTTAACAAGACCTAACCTTGCAGGGTAAATTTAGTTTACTGCAGGGTATTTTTAAAGCTTGGAAAATTTAGCAGCAATTTGTTTGAGCTTGCAACAACCAGAGACCTGTAATCACATTTCTGCTGTGTGTTGGGATCTAACCATGTAGATCATCAGCTCTGTACAAACACAGTGCATTGATATTGCTCTTTAGTGCTTTGGAAAATTATATATTACTAGAACTTTTGTAGATTGAACATTTGTTTACCAACGTTTTGCTCCTTTTGGGTAGATTAGTGCAGTTTAAAAGAAAAATACTGTTTAAGAGTGGAATTCTTTGTGACAGGATTTACTTCCAATCTCTGACATCTGTGTTGCTGTTATGGAGGAGGGTATGTTATAGGGGTCATTTTAGTCAGGTAAATAGGAGCTCGGGTAGCAATCAGTCAGTATTTAGTGTACACTTCCCAGCACTGAAAATCCTCCATCAGAGCATTTCATCTCTTTCTTTGTATTCATCCTAGGTAAATAATGTCAGAGGTATTCTATAGAAGAAATCCTATGTGTTACTTAAAAAGTAGACTGATCCTTTAATAGAGGTGTGAATAAATCTTGATTTTACATTTCTATTGAGGATGGGTCACAGTAGCCATAACATTTCTACACCATGTGATGAACTCCAAGGTACGCTGAAGTCTGTGTCAGAAGAATTAATTTAAATGGGGTAGGATTTCAGCCAGTAAAAGCTGGCTATATGTATTTAGTGCATACATGCAGTACCTCCAGCTTGAGATCCCTAATGTTTTAGAGTTTCTCAACAGAGATTCTGGATAATGATTTAATGTAAGCTAACTACTTCCAGGTTGGTTCTTTGTAATATAAGGATAGTTTAAAATAGTATAGCTTTATGTAAATGCTGCTGAATTATCAATTTGCTCACATGTTTCTGCTTATGTTTCTTGTATTAATGTCATATGAACAACTGTAAGACATTTACGGAAGACAAAGTGATTAATTTGTACAGTGTGTTTATATGAGCAACAGCATAAATGTGCATTAGGGTAATCTGGAATAAATTTATAGTATGCTACTTGATGTAGGAACATTGTTGTTTAATGTGAGAGATTTTATTTCACTCTTTTCGTGAGAACTGCAGTACTGAAACAGCCCACACTCAAATACTGGCAGCATTGCCCTTGGTATTTCAATGAGTGACAGCAAAAGTAATCAGAGCACTGAGATGAGATCTTTTAAAATAAACCTTTTGCAGTAGAAAGATTCACTTTTCTGCTTGGGACATCATCTTCTATCTCTGTTTGCACTGAGAAGTAAGTTCAAGAGTAACTGCCTCTTGGTCACATCTTATGAGCCAGCTTTTCCACAGCCATTTAGCATACTGGGATTTACAGGCAATCCTGTTTGTGAGCAGTGTCTCCTTCAGGTTGTCTCACAGTCACTTCCTAGCATTTCCCTTAAAATCACTAGAGAGAAATAAATGGCCATCAAAATGGAGAAACAACTGGTATTTCTAGATAGAGTTGTTAAAGCTTTCGACTGAGCATTAATAAGTAATTAAAATGTTTGTTGTAATTCATTCACATCTGAGTTACAAAAAGGAATGAATGCACTTTACTAATTAAATGTTGAGGGCATGAGAACAACAATACAGAAAAAGCAAGCCACAATAAATCAATTCTCTATTGTGGCAGGAGGCAAGGTACTGTGAAGGTCCCATCTGCATGGTCTTTCTATGTTTCAATGATTTCTTTGCATGCTGCTGTCATAGTTAAATGTCTTCCTGCATCTAGTCAGCAACATGGACAGTGACTGCACCCTCGGCAAGTTTGTCACTGACTCCAAGCTGTGTCTTGCAGTCATCACGCTGGAATGAAGGGATGTCATCCATAGGGATCTTGAGAGGCAGGCCTGTAGAAGAGATGAGCCCCATAAAGTTCTACAAGGCCAAGTGCAAGGTCCCACACATGGGTCAGGGCACAAATACAGGCTGGGTAAATAATCAGTTGAGAGCAGCTCTGAGAAGAATGATTTGCAGGTGTTGTTTGACAAGAAATGCAACATGACCCGGCTATGTCTGATTCCAGCCCAGAAAGCCAATTGTATCCTGGGCTGCATTAAAAGAGGTGTGACCAGCAGGTCGAGGTGGGTGATTCTGCCCCTATACACTGCTCTCATGAGACCCTGGAGTACTGCATCCAGATCTGGGGAGCTCAGACTCAGATAGATGTAGACCTGTTGGGGCAAGTCCAGGGGAGGCTGTAAAGAGGCT